TGAAGCAGTTTAACTTAAAGATTCGCTATTAGTAGATGCTGCTGCTGAACAGACGCACGTATTCACATGCGCTTAATCTCTCTCTCTCCCTCTTTTACTCTCTCTCTCTAACCGCATTAGACTGCATTAATAAACTGCATTAGCCTGCATATCAATGGCCCAAGCTTCTGTTATTAGCTCTAAAATTACGTTTTGGAATTTGCAATGGAAGGTTTATCTTGAAATAAATCATCTGAACAATATCTTGATGTGTGGTTGTGACACCAGGCCGTTAAAATTATTAGAGAAATAATGCACTCCCGAAGTGGCAATTTAACATTTAACCGCAGTTTCACACGGGTTAATATTTCAATGGGCAAAATATAATGGGTTTACCCTGAATTACGGAGCCAAACCTATAGTGTAAAACCATAGCCTGTAAAACCATCAGGTGCTACAACCAACCAGGGTCAGATTTACGCATAGGCATTCTAGGCACGTGCCTATGTTCGCTGGTCCAGGGGGGTCCAAACACAATGAAGAGATATCTAATATTTTTGTTATACTATGGGCTATCTACAACAAAAGAACCAAAACCCCACAAGACATATTGAGCAAATCAATATAACAAACAATAGGGTAAAAAATGACATACGATTTTCATGTCTTCCACCTTTTTTATGTAGCCTAGGCCAGTGTTTCCCAACCTTTTTTTAGTCGCGGCACCCTTTGGAAATTTTAACAAATTAGTTCAACACACGAGATTTCAGGACGGAAACATGTCATATGTCTTGAAACAAATCATCTGAACAATGTCTTGATGTGTGGTTGATTTCAGAAGAAAACCAGAGCAATTCAGAGCAGTTTCTTTGCCCTGATTAAAAGTTAAATAACGATTTATGTACATTTTACTACACATTTCATTGGAAAAATTACACATTTGTGGGGAAATATATATATATATATATATATATAGTACTGGACCCAACCATAAAATCCTCAACACTTACCTCATTAATCAGAATCTTTACAGACAGAGACAATTTTACGTGTATCTTAATGTCGAAGTGAGGTATGAGTCATTTTTGTAAAATATTGTATATTTCAGAAGAAAACCAGAGCAATTCAGCGCAGTTTCTTTGCCCTGATTAAAAACATTTTACTACACATTTGATTGGACAAATTACACATTTGTCACACACACACACACACAAAATCCAGACACTATTCAGTAAGAGAAAAGTCCCTTGTAGACAGTCTCTGCAAAAAGTAGTCTGTTAGCTGAGAGTATTTTAAGGAGATAAAATACCAGGCTGAATCAATATCAAAAATTGTGCAACACAAATAAAATATAATTGCAGATGAATTACATTCTTGTTAAAGCACAGAAGCTCTTCTATCCCTTCATTCTTAAAACATGACCCAATCCTCCTCCAAACAGCCACACGTTAAAAACAAACGCACAACATTCATTCCTTTCAGCTCTACTCTATCGAGATAAAACAAAGTATATAAACTGAACTGGGAGGTGCTCACTGGATAAATATGACTATGAATGCCTCAGAAAATGTGAATGTTTTTACAGAAAGTGAGTGATGTGACTGATTTCTATTGTAATTTTGCGACATTTTACTTTAAATGTATACGAGATGGTAAGTTAAGGCAGGTGTAAAACGTAACCACAGTTAGTTTCCATAAGCCATTTGGATAAAAATTAATATTCATTTGAAGACGTTCTGGTTTTAAATAAACCGGGCCTCTTTCCGAGGTTTGGCAACTTAAAAACATCTACTTCTTTTGTCTTAATCATTCATACGAATCACTTTTACATCCCTGTCCATCCATTTTCAGGTTTCCGTGTTTGAGTGTCTCTTTACATCGACAAAGTGATCACTGTTCCTCAAGCCACGATGGCTTGTCAGAACCCGGTGGCTTCAATTTCACATTGAACTGTCTGAGAGTCTGTTCCAGCTGGTGCTGGTTTCCAAATTCTAGTGATACGCTTATGTTAAATGAAACTGAAATAAACCAATACATTAACTTCTAAAGCCCTTTTTTGTAATGTATATTCAATTATATACTTGTGTTCTGCAATAAATGTAAAAAGTTTTTGATCCATCCTCATTTGGGGGGTTCTTATCTTAGCAATTAATTACATGATGTACAGATTGATAAAAAAAAATAATATCAAATCAGATCAAATAAAAAAATAAAACATATTTGTGTGAGAATGTATATGTTAATTTGATTAATCAATCTGTATATCATGTAATTAATTTGCAGAATTTTTTAATATCAAACTTTTGATACCTTGCATTCTCATATATATTGATGGTCATGAGTGTGTCCTCCATGGTTTTGTTGACTAATGTATTAATGCTGGACACAAAGAAATTGATGGCACCCAGGAGCGTCTCTCCATTCTTGCATAGCAGTCTTTGCGTCTCTGCATTATAGCCAAACTCATCCTGAAAAAGTTTAAATGAAGTTTAAATTAAGGCTAACATTATTTATAAAGCTATTAAACTATCAAATAGAGTAAAGGCATATTAGATGGTTATATTAAAATTGTCACTAAATTAGGAAACCACTGCACCAAAACTACTAATACTGTATTTTAGTGGAACCCAAATTTTTAAACATTCTGTGAAAAATGTATAGTCTGCAATGTAATGAAAGCAAAATCTACTCTAGATTCATGTTTTAATTCAAATTCAATCCATTTAACCATGAAATAAAATCATTTTATGAAAAATACAAAATATAGGTAAATTGTAACAGATAAGCACAGTCCTGCAACGGAACAGTGGATATCATTTTGGACAGTACGTTTTTTTTTTCTTTTTGCCATGCCGGAAAAAAGACATATAAGGAAAGTGTTTTTAATTCTTTCTATTGTAAATAAATTCGCCCAACACCGCAGCCACAGAGCAGGGACACAAAATTATTAGTACCTGCAATTCTGGTGATTTCTGGCTAAGATCAGCAAAGGTGTCTCCAAGAGCCTGCTGAGTCTGCACCATGTTGTAGAAGTGGTTGGTGAGCTCACGTGCTAGTCTCAGAATATGCTCGTACTTCATCTTAGTCTCTCTTAGCACATCAATCTGAGCCTCAAGCTCCATGTCCACAGTCTTTGTTCCACGACCGAAGTGTTCCGAAAACATCTGTTTTGTGCACTGGTAAAGAAAGGACAGCAAGAGATACATATGAATCCCTTCATAGTAGTGTTGGGTTCGAGTCCACCTAAGTCGAGTCTGAGTCTTTAACCAATCGAGTCCGAGTCGAGTCCAATGAAACTCTATTATTTATTAGTATCTTAACATTGTTTTAACCTTTACAACTAGAAAAACGCAATGTCCATTTAAATGTAACAAAAGCAAACCTATATTGCATCTTGCCATTTTGATTAATAATTAGTGTTCTGCTTTGCTTAGCAAACTTAAAGTCATGTAACAGAAGTTATGGCTGAATTGATTTATGTATTGTGACACATTTCAGAGTGAAACAGGTTTTAGAATGTGAAAAATTAAAGGGCGGGACTTGACTTTATCCTAAGTTGAGTCCAAGTCGAGTTCGAGTCTTTAACCAATCGAGTCCGAGACAAGTCCAAGTCCAAAATGGGCCGAGTCGGACTCAAGTCCGAGTCCCAAACAGTCGAGTCCCGAGTCCAATGAAACTCTATTATTTATTAGTATCTTAACATTGTTTTAACCTTTACAACTAGAAAAACGCAATGTCAATTTAAATGTAACAAAAGCAAACCTATATTGCATCTTGCCATTTTGATTAATAATTAGTGTTCTGCTTTGCTTAGCAAACTTAAAGTCATGTAACAGAAGTTATGGCTGAATTGATTTATGTAATGTGACATATTTCAGAGTGAAAAGGGTTTTAGAATGTGAAAAATTTAAGGGCGGGACTTGACTTTATTCATCGTTAAAGTAAATATATAAATTCAAGGGTTGGGGGTAAAGGAGTAGGTGAATGGGACCTTAAGAGCAGAAAATTCACCTTTTATCGCAATAAAAAACAAGCTTAATATCCTTTTTACGATTTTTTATGAAATATGAATTTTGAATAATCAAAATTAGTTTGTGTCTGCATATTCTATTCATCAGTGTTTGAACCATTAACAAAAGCAAACCTATACTGCATCTTGCCATTTTGATTTTTAATTAATAATTAGTGTTCTGCTTTGCTTAGCAAACTTAAAGTCATGTAACAGAAGTTATGGCTGAATTGATTTATGTAATGTGACATATTTCAGAGTGAAAAGGGTTTTAGAATGTGAAAAATTTAAGGGCGGGACTTGACTTTATTCATCGTTAAAGTAAATATATAAATTCAAGGGTTGGGGGTAAAGGAGTAGGTGAATGGGACCTTAAGAGCAGAAAATCCACCTTTTATCTCAATAAAAAAAACAAGCTTTATATTATTTTTAATGTAATATGAATTTTGAATTATCAAGATTAGTTTGTGTCTGCTTATTCTATTCATCAGTGTTTGAACCATTAAAGAAGAAACTGCATTTTAATTTCTGGGTTAAAAAAAATGAAAAAATTTAATAAATGGACGCCAAAGTACACGGACTCCTTAGACAGGGCATTTTGAATTTTTTCTTGGATGAAAATGAGGCTGTGAGGGATAAACCTAGTCTGTACAATGGCACACACTGTGTATAAAAGCCCTACATATACTTTCCATAAGTCACAGCCAACTCACACCTGTCCTGTTTTATTTTTGAATGCATTTATAGTTACATTAATTACAATAAATTACATTATGTAAGGAATAATTGATGGCTTTATATTATTTTTAATGTAATATGAATTTTGAATTATCAAGATTAGTTTGTGTCTGCTTATTCTATTCATCAGTGTTTGAACCATTAAAGAAGAAACTGCATTTTAATTTCTGGGTAAAAAAAATAAATGGACGCCAAAGTACACGGACTCCTTAGACAGGGTATTTTGAATTTTTTCTTGGATGAAAATGAGGCTGTGAGGGATAAACCTAGTCTGTACAATGGCACACACTGTGTATAAAAGCCCTACACTTTCCATAAGTCACAGGCAACTCACACCTGTTTTATTTTTTAATGCATTTATAGTTACATTAATTACAATAAATGACATTATGTAAGGAATAATTGAAGATGGGCCATTGAATTATTAGAAAATAATGCACACCCACTGTTTTATTTTTGAATGCATTTATAGTTACATTAATTACAATAAATGACATTATGTAAGGAATAATTGAAGATGGGCCATTGAATTATTAGAAAATAATGCACACCCAAGGTGATTTTGGACCCATAAAAACTATTGCCGCAAAAATGTTAGCTAGAAACTGCCAATTGCCTAATACAAAAGCAAAAATTAATAAACTAATGTAATAAAACATTCTCAAGCTTACTGAAGGCAAGTAAACACTCCAAGTATTACTTACAAGCTAAATAATAAATACATTTATTACTCAAAAATACAAATTTAGTATAGGTTTTTTAAAAAAAAGTTTTTCAGATAGCCTAGTAAAGGCTTCTAGAAATAGCCTACTACAGACATTTCATGAAGTAATAAATGTAAAAATAATCTTCATTGTATACATTAAATATAGATGATTCTTATTAAAGTTAATAAGTGATTCAGTCAAGAGCAGTGAGTGGTTTTCTCCTTTTCTTTTGTTTGATTAACATTTATGACGCAGTCGGCGGCTGCAGGTTTACGCTGTTGCTTTAAGATCTGACGCATAGATCAAATATTTTGACACATCTGCATTTCTCTCAACTGTTCAAGTTCACTTAAAGGTCCCCTGAAATGCTTAGAAACACGCAGCGTTACTCTGTGTGTTGACGTCATTTTAACTGAAACAGGAAGACAGGGCGGGACATATCAAGCAGCCCCGCCCCTTTTTAAAATAGCCAATAGCGTTCGTTTATATCACAGCTTGGGCTAGAGCCGTTCAGAGCCGTTGAGCTCCGTAAAGCCGT